TGGGGCGTCTGCCGGGCTTCCCGGCCCTGTTTACTTTGTAGCGTGCTGTGACTGCGCTGTCACTACTGTCGCGGCCGTCTTCGTTTTGGAAAACGCTGGTGGCCACAAAGCGCAGCTCGCAGCCTGCGCCCCGCCGCCCGGGTGGAAGCTCGCGCTTGTCTTGGCGTGTCTCGCGGGCGGAGCGGAGCCTCCCGCGAATCCTTCCCTGCCTTTGGCTGGAAGGAGACAACGCGTCCCCAGTTACCCTCAGAGCGTTTTGTCTTCCACCCGGCGACTACAAGCCTTTTCTCCTTCCAGTCTGCTTCTCCACGCTGCCCGCCTTGCCCCTAATTCAGGACCCCCAGAAAGGGAGTTCGCGGGGGAGCGAAGGCGAGCGCGGAGGCACGAGCTGAAACGCGTCTGTGGCGGTGGGGGGGGCCTTCCCGAGTGGCGGGTGCAGGGGGTGGGGCCCCCGGTCTGCGGCCTGCGCTGTGGGGTCGGTCCTGACTAACTGCCCCTCCCCTGACAGATGCCGGCGAGGGCTGCACCATGGTCAGCGGGGGCGTCCAGCCCTACCTATAGAAGGGCCGGCACCGCCGTGCAAGTAAGTGGGGCCCTGAGGGGCTCGCCGGGAGCCCCCCAGCACCAGCGCACGCCGTGTGTTTTTCTTGCTTCTTGCGGTGGGGCTGGGAGAGAGAACGCTGCTCAGCCACTTCTTGAAGGGAGCAGGTCTTTTTCCCTTAGAGTGGGAGACTGTCCTTTCTGTTTTGACTCCCTTGGATCAGTGAGACTCCCTCTCGTTGGCACAAGTCCTGTCACTCCTTTGCCCCGAAAATCGATCTCTATATCACCACCGCCGCTGCTGTTTTCTCTTTTAATAAACCGATGATTGCAATCTGGGCATTTGTACGCGCTCCGGAGTCGCGTGTACTATGCCCAGGCGCTCAGTGGACGCCTGCCCCGATGAGCTAGGGCCACCAAACGGGGGGGTGGGGGGGGTCGTCTCTGAAACCTCCAGGCTAGGAGGCCGCTGAGTTCTGCTGGCTGCAACCGTGCTTCAGAACATGCGTTGCACAGTAGAAAGATTGTAGTCGAGATCCGAAGACGGAGCGAGGTGGGGCCATTTCAGATCAACTCAGTTTTATCATGTGCCGGTGCTGGTGTGGAACTGAAGGATTTGGGATGATTGGGTTTTTTCCTTGGTCCACAGGTAGGTGTCACAATTGCTTTGGAAAAAAAAAGGCAGCAGGCCCTTCTCTCTTCCCAAGCTCATAAATTTACAGATAGAAAAAAACAAAAACAAAAGCAAAACAGATCTCTAAATCTGGACCCCAGCTTGTGCCACTGTAAAAGAGAAGGCTTCACATCACACCGTCAAGCCACAGACTCGAGCAGTCGCAGCCGACTATTGTTGGACACGTGTGTATTTGTTGGCGTAGTATAGCTTCCCCACTGTATGTGTGACTTTTGAAAACAATCTGTTTTTCTCAGGATATCTTGAATTGATCACTTCATTGCCACGGCATATATACTATAGGTGTGATAGGATTTACTGTAAAGTTTATTTGTAAAAGATGTACACAGTAGGAATAAAACGTGATTGAAGAACTTGAGTACTTCAGAAGTGGAAACAAATTTGATATTTATTTTTATAATGATATAAAGCTTCTAGTAATTTATGCAAGTTGTATTGCAATGGAATCTAAAACTTTTTGTAAATAAATTCTGCCTGGTTTTTATTTGAACATTGCTGGTTATACAATCTTTGTTGGTTGTTTAACACAAATTCTTTACTAATTTATATCTTAAATTGTAAATAAAAACAGACTAGTCTACAATAACATGGCGTTTGGGGCTCATTTTTCCTAGAAGAATGATTTGGGTATGAAGCCCTAGGGAAACCGCTAGGTGATCGAACCTCACCTTTTTCATGAAAAGCTGTGTGAAATAAACTCTCCTTTCTCACGCTTATTAAAACAAAAAAGGCAGATGGAAGAAAACACACAGTAGCAAGATACGTTTGGTTCTATATTATTTATATACAGATGTATTGCAAGAAAATTAAAATTTTTGTGCTCTGAATATGCAAATTACTTGTTAGTGTAAATTTTTAAGACTTGTCAAAATAAACTGATCTGACACCCATATGTATTTCATGTTTATTTCCGGGCTGGCATATTGACCCTCCTCAGGAAACTCCACTGGCGGGTGGTATTGATAATGGAGAGTTACACCCCCACAATGAATTACTGATGTAAATAATGGGTTTAAAGCCCGAATTATCCAAAGTGGCCTAATTATTCAGATTTATTGACCAACTTCTTAACTCTGCTTTTCATGTAACTCACATTAAACGCAAGGTGCAACCTGGCGGGAGGGATTTCGTTTCCTTTCAGCAGTTGTTACCCTTACCCTGGGGGAAAAGAAATGTTTAAACAACCTTAGACTCCTTCCTTTTTATTGTGTTACTCACTTTCTAATTATAGGACAACTCCAGAATTTGTAGTCAAGTAACATATTCCCTTTGATTAGTATCATAAAAGCAGCAAAGCTGTCACTTTAATTTTCAGCAAAATTATATGGATATCCATATAATATAATTTCAGAAAAGAAATGAACAATCATTTATTTCCTCTCCAAAGATAAATTGTGTGAATATAACTTACGGTTATAAAACAAGAATAATAGCTTCTTAGATTGCCCTTTAATCAATCATACACTTATTTTTCAAGAGGTTCATCTATTTTATTCCATGATTAATAATGTTGCAGCCTGAGAGCATTATTGGATCCCAGCGGGGGAGGCCGTGGATGCTTTTAGCTGCTTTGGAATGGTCAGTTGGGGTTCATTATGGGCTGATATTGAACAATTTATAAAATCTTGTCTAAACATCTGCCAGCCCGGATAGGCCGATGTGTCTGAGGATGGGAAATTGCTGAACCAGTTGATATTGACAAACGGATCTCTCTCCAGTGGCTTTTTGTGCCATAAAAATTAGTGGCCTCTTGCTGGGGTCTTGTTAGAAAGGGTATTTGAAAGTAATCTTAGATACTCGAGGCAAAGCCAGGGGCCTGTTAGCTGTACCCAGAGCCCCTGGGGAGGAGGAATCTTGGTTTGACTGGGGATGGTGCAGACACGGGTTTCGGTTTTCCACGACTCCTAAAGCATTTCCTTGGCTTCAAATACTTCAACACTTGGAGGTCAGACATGAGGTAAATCTCTGGGGTGAAGAACTATTTTTTCCTGTCTTCTTGGCCTCCCCTGGTAGTAGACATGGCAATGTTTAGGGCTGAGCTCTCTATTGGCTGGAGGGAAGGTTTTCACTCATGAAGCCTGGCCAGTCCGGGGCAGTGGCAGTGTCTGGAAGCAAACAGATTCCAGGTTGGGGGAAGTAAAAGTGAGCTCGGAGAACGTTTGCTGGTTTGGGTTTTGGACATAAAACCTGCGTAGAATTTCCATAAAGTTCCCGATTTTCCCCTGCAGGAAGCATTGTAGATTGCAATGTGAAAGTCTCAAGTAGTTTTGTTTTATTAATATTGGCCATGTTTCCTAAGTCAGAAAAGAATAACATGCACATGGCAGTGTCTCTGCTACGCGTAACGTTAGAACTTGAGTCTTTTGAAGACTTCAGTGAAAAGTGTGAGTTAGCAATATTTAATAAAGTCGACACGGAAAGACCTTGCACCCTTATGAAGACACAACATGTTGGACTTCTCTTAAAGAAGCGTGGACTAGAAAATCCAAGCAGAAACGACCTTTGAGCACACGTACAGAAATCGAGTGTGGGTCAAAGCTGCCTTCCTTTGAGACAGGGAAGATTGTTTTACGTGAACACAGGCTGCCTGTTACACACACACACACACACACACACACACGCACACACACCAGCCTCCTTTCTCTGGAAGGACACATACATTTCAATTGGTGAAAACTCAAAGCAGCTCAGGAGATTAGCCAAGGCTAAGGAAGCTTCTTTGATGTTCATATGCCCAACAAATTATTAAAGATTTCCATAACTTACCCACCCTGTCTCCTGACCTGAATTTCTTTCTGGATAACTTGGTTTTTAAATATACACTAAGAACATAAAACCTGCAGGTGTTTAGGGGAATCTTTTAAAAGAAATGTAGATTGATTTATGAGTTCTATCTGCATGCAGGTCATTGGGAAAGACGAGCAAGGAAGAAGTAAGGGAGGGAGGAGAGAGAGACAGAGACAGAGACAGAGAAAGAGAGAGACAGAGAGATCCTGATCCTTCAAGGAGGAGATAAGCTAATAGGGCTTGAATTTTATTTGTACTTTAAAAGCGTGTTAATCAAAACCCAGCCAGCCGGCCAGGATG